AGTCAACCTCAGTAAAAATTTTCAAAAACTATTTTTCAAACAGTCAATGCTCAACGAGCATGCCGGTATGTATTACTGCATTTCTGTACAGTCATTTCATTTCAGTTTATTTGATATTCCACAGAATATTGATGCATCTGATATTTTTGCAGGCTTCTTCTGCGTACACCCGGCAGTCATTGGAGATGAATGCCTCCATGATGGGGATGTTGCAGCGGACCTTTGATCTCCTGGCCCTCTACAGCATTCCGGTATGTTTTTCTGATCACGGCCTCAAATCACTCACAAGCTGATTCACGTAATCTGATGCACGACACAACACCTGATACACCGATCTCACAGCGTCTGATACACTGTATGCACTGCATCCTGCACTGTACTCTGTACTGATAAACTGTCCACAGTATACACATACTGTACTCATGCACTGCACTCTGCACTGATAAACTGTCCACAGTATACACATACTGTTCACTGCATTCTGCACTGATAAACTGCTCACGGCATTCACATACTGTTTACTGCATTCTGCACTGATAAACTGCTCACGGCATTCACATACTGTTCACTATATTCTGCACTAATAAACTGCTCATAGCATACTGATGCATTTGCCTTTTGTGTATTTTTTTCAGCCTCCCTTCCAGATTCCCGGGGTAGGAGGTGCTCCAGCTGGACCTTCTGTCCCCGCCCGAGGGAGAGATGAGGAGGGCCGAGTATTCCCCCGCACCAAGGCGGGGCACACTTATGCCGGGAGCAGCTCGCGGGCTCCTGTCCCCGATGACGACGATGATGAGGATGACGAGTCAGAGGCGGAGGCAGAGTCAGAGGCGGAGTCATCAGAGGAGGAGACCGGAGGCGACACTAGCTCGGGCTCTGACGACGATGCCGATGATGCTCCTGGACCTTCGTCCAGGAAGAGGACCAGGACCGATTGATGGCCCCTGGAGTCGCTTGACATAGATTTTTGTTGTTTTTCTTCTTTCTTGTACTTTTCTTTTTGTTGATAGTTAGGATGCTTTGTACTACCGCAGGCAGATTTTGTTTTCCTCAAAACTTTGTACTGGAAAGAGATTATGAAATGAACAAAATTTTTTGCTTAAAAATTGTTACATTTACATATCTCATGTATTGCATCGCATCCCATCATGTTACACCTCAATGTAAATGAAATTGATTGGTTGTCTGTAAATTGAACACTTGCACTGTAATAATCAGATAACTAAACAGCCAACAGCAAAATAGCCCACTGCCTGATTCTGGACACACAACCCTTACCCTGTTGGGGATTGATCTGCATACAGCCCAAAACACAGCATTCGGTTCATTCTGCACACAGCAAACTTTAAAAAAAACAGCCCAATCTGACAAGACGGAGCTCAAAGACGGAACCGGTTGGAGTTGAAGCATGCTCAAATATAGAGAATGGCACAGCATTCTGGGTATAAACGATTCTGAAATTAGATGAGGGTTTTTCAAACCGGGGTATCGAGCCTACAACTGAACACAGCCGGGAGGACTCGAACACAGGTACATGACCTAAACACAACGAGACACGCTCGGGAGAAACCTAAGCAAAGGATGAAACCAACAAATCAAAAAGACACGACACACAGACGCGTTAGCGAAGACGGGGGACCTCAGATCACGAAGAGTCAGTTTCTCTGGGTATTGTTCCCTACCCTTTCTGATTTGTGATTCTCACATCACTCAACTCTCAAGCTCGGATTTTCTCTCAAAACCCTTTTCCTCACTTTTCTCTCAACTCACACCTCTCTATTCTTCATTCTCTCATTCAGATTAAGCTGAATATCAACGGCTTTATGTTGGCATGACATCAAGCTTTAACAAGGAATCAAGCCAAATGCAATAAAAAATTGTCAATTAGTGTTATTATGGAATCCACTCACATTTATGTATGTATCAAAAGCCAATACTTGATGGCATCCAGTTTAGTTTATATATTTCAATTATTGAGGTCTTGAGTTTGACTTTGGGTGGTATAAGAGACAATGAGATACATTTTTCACTTTTTATTTTTCATTTAAATAAATAAAAAAAAACTTTAGCTTATCTTTATGTAGGCTTCCATAACCTTATCAATTGGATTCTCCAATATGACCATTCTGTAGCTGCCAGTCCCAACCGAAGCCACAATTTGATTTATTTAATTTTAACATCCAATATTGAAAAAGAGAATGAGAAATATCCAAAACTGAAAATAGCTTTTATACAATGTAGTGGAAAAATGAAATTTGAGGACCAGTAGGTATAGAACTGACCAAATGAATCAAGAAAATGAAATAAATAAGAGACAACAAATGCTTATTCTTGCATCTTGTCTTCAATACCTACGCCTTTATTGCCTGTTGTTCTCCATATCTCCTAATTTTCTGAGTTTTCTGCGATGGAAAACAAGAAAGAAAGAAATATTCAACATCATATGTACACATATTTTTTTTAGAGAAATCTAGAGCCAACTCAAAAAAGATTAGAACCCATAATTAAACTAAATTAATCGATTCTCTTGTGACCAAACCAAAAATAACCAAGTAACCAAACCAAATTGAACTAAAGTAAGTTGAGTTGGTTTAGTTCTTAGATTAACCCAACCCAGAAACAGAAAGGCGGAGTTTAGTTAAGGATGTGAACTAATTGCAGAGTACTAACCTCGATGCATGATGCATCAAGTTTTGACAGTAGTGACATACTTGATGAGCATCCCAACAACTTCTGGTGATACCCTTGATGACGTCTCCTTCAAATTTTTAATCTTCTTGTCTGTTTCCGCTTCAAGCTGTTTTGCAGTTGATCCAGAGCTCCCACTTGTCTACACACAGACACACACACACATACATCACACCAAAATGACAATAACAATAATGAATTTTTTCAGCTCTAATAAATGATTAAATAAATAAAAAGAGAATTTGGAGAACATAGAAAGATGTCAATGAAGATCCTAGCTAGGATTGATTATGTTCTATGGTTGCTATATATTAAGAAGATGGTAAGATGATGATGATGATGTTTTGGCAGATATTACCTCGGAAATTTTATTTTGATATTCTGTATCCATATATGAACGATAATTTGCTACTTCTCTCTCAGCCTCATCTTTAGCCTGCTTCAACCTTGTCATTTTCACTGAAGAGCAGACAATTACAGTGATGGATACAAAGTGTTAAAGAAAAAAAAACACACGCACACACACAAACAAAAAGAAAAAAGAAAAAAAGAAAAAAAAAAACAGTAGAAAGAAAGAAAGAAAGAACAAGGAGGAAAGCAAGTTTTGAATACAATCAACTGAACAAAAAAAATTGTTTTAAATAAACTTCTAAATTTTCCCATTTGATGGGATTTAAGGCTTGGTTTGATTTATATACTTCTAAATTTAAAATGAATGACTAGAGTTCATATATAACTTCTGTATATAGATATGGGTTAGATTTTACAGTTTCTAGCAGCAGTTACAATTTGCTGGGCTTCCTGTTCTGCAGTTAGAAGCATTTGAATGCCTCCTTGTCCTTTCATGGAATCCATTGTAAAATTTGCAACCTAAATAAAAAAAAAACCCTATAAGATCAATATATATGCTTGCATATGATCTGTAACATTTATGTTGTACAGTTGCAAGACAATAGGTTGGTTAATCATATACAAAAGCAATAAATTTAGAAATTAAAATTAGAAAAACTGCACTAGAACAAAAGAAAAAAGAAAAAGAAGACTGACTTAATGAGTGACTCGTAGTTTCACAGTAATTAGTTTGTACTTACAAATGCATGGTTTAATTTTTGAGACGCATACGACAATTGACGTGATCAACCAGGTATTGTATGTAATGTTGACTTATTTGAAATGGCTAAAACAAGTCTTCCATAGGAATAGGGACCTAGAATTCTCATGGAAAGCGCAAAAGAGAACACTGTATAGAAGACAGCTACACTAGTCTATGTCCTTTTCGATCTCCTCTGTGGCAAACTCTTCTTACTCCGTAACCTAATTGTTCTTGTTTTCAGAATTTCAGATTTGTGTTTTCTGATTTCTTGCGCAGGGGTTGTTATTGCTGCTGGTTTGGCAAGTTTTGTGGTTCAGTTTCTTCTGGTCACTGGAAATTGATGGTGCTATGTGGGTCTTATCTACAAGGTGGATATCCTGAGCCAGATGTCTTTGATGCATCTAATGGATTGTGAAGTCCAGGCTAACGTTTGTCTGTGGTTTGTGTTGGATGGTGTCTTAGCTTCTGTTATGTTTGTGCCTTTCATTGTTCACAATGCTTTTGTTAGTTCTGCTTTAGGTTGATGATTTGTTTGTTAGTGTTTCTGTTGTTCGGTTTGTTACCGTCTTGTACTTGGGATGTACTGTTCCCTCTTGTATTTCCATGTTTATTGAAATGAAATATGATGTTCTTTTTCTTGCCAAAAAAAGATTCCTAATCCATATTATTTCGCTGAAAGGAATTGCACTGCATTACTCACTATTTAATTAATTTGTGTTTTTAAATTTTTTTTTTAAATTTTAAATTTTTTTTTTTTGATTGGGCATACTCACTATTAATTAAGGGTAGAGAACTAAGAACATGATTCAAAGGGAAAAATATTATTCACATATAAAATTAAAAAAAGACAAAAGGGCCAAAAATAAAAGGAAAATCCCCTCTATACACCTTTTTAAACATATTTTCTCATGAGAAAAAAAAAAGAAGGTATATAGAGGGGGAATTTATTTATTTATTTATTTGAAATTTTGGCCTTTCTCTGTCATTTTTGAATTTTAAAATTAAAAAATGTCTCATACTAAACTAGGATTCATATCCTCATTGGATATGATAGCTGCAGATAAATTTCATCTTCTATAGATAATATTCATGAAAAAACATATTAAGGCTGAATTCAGATCATATATGCAGTTTCATTACAAATTAATTGAAGAAAACAGATTGTAGCAAAACCAAAATAATTAATAAATCCTGCAAATATAAATACTTCAAATAAAATAAAATAGAGAAACAAAGCAAACAGCTGATAAAAAATGAATGTACTGATGTAATTAATGTTACTAATACCTGTGTAGGATTTTTTTTTTTTTTTGAGGAAGATGTTATTAATACCTGTGTAAGATGGATTGCTAGGGAGTTGTGTTTTGGAAGAAGCTAGTGAGAGGTTTCTGCAATTATTTTTTCAGGAAATATTGAGAGAGAGAGAGAGAGAGAGAGAGATTGGCCAAGTCATCCATGAAGAGAAATTTTCTCCTTTGTATTTGGTGGTGTTAGTTATGGTTGTTTCTTAATTGTATCTCTCATTCCTAATTCATTTTGTGCATTAAATTTTTATTTTTGGATCTTAGATTTGATGAGAGGAAAAAAGAAAGAAAAAAATATATCTGTCAAGTTTCAAACTAAAAATACATATATACATTTTTTTTTTGGGTATGGGATATGTATAGTATAGTAGATTTTCTAAAATGCTAGTTGTGACAACTTCAATCTCGACAACTGAATATGATTAGTCTATTATAAGTTGGAGAAAGAAAAGGCACTATGGTGAAATTGATAGACACGTTACTCTTAGGAAGTAGTGTAGGAGAATCTCAGTTTAAGTTCGTGTACTGGCATGCCGTCTTCTAAAATGATAGAATAGCTACTATAATGAATTCAATTCCTGATTTCCATTCCGTCATTAAAGGATTTCTTATTTTTTTTTAATGATATTTTTAATCTTAGAACATATATTAACTCATATTTCCTTTTCTATCATTTCAATTGTAATTACAATTTACAACTGGCTGTCCTTCAGTGTAGATCTTGGATGGGAAGGTGTTATTTGGACTCGTGAGACTCATAACGAGTCCCGTTTCAAATATTCAAATTGTTCATTTTGTAGGGTATTTCGTATATATTATCTATACGAAAAATTAGGTTGATTCAATAACCTTAACTTATTTAATTTATTTCATTTGTGTCTGAAAAAAAAAAAATACATGACAAGTGTGTTTTTAAAAATAAATCATACATTTTTAATAATAAATTTGATAAATTGAATACCATATCAAATTGACTCGAGGCAAACTATGGGATCACTAGTATAATTTGGCATTCTTTATGATTTTCTAAAATATAACAAATGGATGGTGGACCTAGGGATGGGCATCGGCCAGTTGGCTCACCTAGTCTGTCTGGTCCAGTCCTATTTTTTTAAGGCTTAGGAATTTTGTTTTAATCCACAAGGATCAGGTTAGGCCAACATTTTCAGCCTAAAATATTAATGGATTGGGCTTGGGTTTATCATTGCAACCCAACCCAGCTCGGCCCGCTATTAAACTAATTAATTAATTATAACATGTTAAAAAATATATTTAGACTTTATCTTTGTTGATTTTATTAAAACTTACATTTGTAGTGATATGTGATTGAATTTATTTAAGAAATCCTTCAATTTATACACACAATCTTTTGATAATAATGTCAATATATTTATTTAAGAAATATAATGTGTGACTAAATTTAATTATGATTTTTTTTTTTAACATATAGCTTGATTAGTGGGTTTGGGATTTATAATTATTTTTTAGACTGGGCTTGGGCAGATGTAGATGCCTGATGTTATCGAGCTTAGGTAGATATAAAATCCCTTATTATGTAATCCTGGCCTAGCTCAAACTCGGCCCGATCGGACGTATGTCACTCCTAGGTAGATCTCTCTTATTCTTTGTGGGTGTTTGGAGACAAGTCAAAAAGTCACTAAGATATTTGTCACTATTTAGAAAAGTCAAATGTTACATCAATTTTTTTTGCTCACAATTTTTTTTTTGTAGCAACTTTTCAAATGTATTTATCTCCTAAGAATATCTACAATGGCAAATGCTATAATAGCATTGCCATTGCTATAATTTGATAATGAATAGTAGAAAATGAAAGAATTATAGCAATGATACTTTAATGGTCAGATACCATTTTGGCAGAATCAAACACAGAAACTGGTACCAGTTTCTGTGTTTGATTCTGCCAAAATGATGGTTTTGCAAAAAATTACCCATATTGCTGGGAGAGAGGGAAATGGTTGGCTTTGGCTAAGTTGATGAATATGGCAACTGCTAAAACTTGTGTCAAATTTGGTATAAGCTTTGGCATTTGTCAAATTTGGCAACTACCATATTCACCATTGGAGTATCACTATTGTTATATTATAGCAATGGCAGCCCCATTGGCAAACCATTGGAGACGCTCTAAGGTTGAGTTTGGAAAGTTGCTAAATAAGGAATTTAGTTTTCTGCACATTTTTTTCATAAAAAGTCAAATAATCAAATCCCAAACAGCCACTCAAAAATAAAAAATATCATAACAAAGCAAACTCCAAACACACACTTAGAATCGATCTGGACCGTATGTAACTTAAACCATATACATACCATACAATCTTGATGCATACAACGAAGCTGTTTCTATAAAGCAGTGCAGTTTTTATTCTTGTTTTTTTATTTTTGTTTTAGTTTTGTAACTGTTGTTGTTGTCACATCCCAAATTCAGGCATGACCGGCTGTGGCCCATAGGGACTTAACCCAAGACACATGTAAGCCTAAACACGAACCCAATATCACAAAGAATAAATGTAATGATAGTCCAGAAATAAATAAATCAAAAATCAATCCAGTTACAAGTATAAACGGCAAAACCAAACCCAATCAATGCCATCTAAACCAATGGAATATAAACAGCCCACATAACAGAATAATCTTAAATGAACCTTAATAAATAAAAAATATGCACGAACTTGACATAATAATTTGAAAAAATAAACATAAAAAAAAAATATGAATGCCCTAGAGGTCCATGTAATTGAGTTCTCGCTATGCCATGAGTCCACTCTAAGTCCTTCTATCACTTGGAAATGATTAACAACGAAGTCAGCTAATAGCTTAGTAAATAGAAGTATGGATAGTAAATACAGTTTTGAAAAACAAGGTTCAATTCCAAAATAAGATACATATCATATAAATTAGATTGGTATACAGTTTTGATAAAGACAATCTATTTCAAAAAAGAAGTGTGGGGACATATTTTTTGGGTAGTCCACGTGGACGAGGTTGTTAGCCGAGGTGCCACGTGGGCGGACCATGGTGCCAAGATATGGTGTGATAATACCAGAATTCGAGATATTCGGATAGAGAACAAAAGTTCTAGATGACATCAAGCTACCTATTTGGATAAAGACGAGACTCTTGAGGAAGTTTATCTTAATCTAAATAGTGTGAGTTGTGATAAATGTTATCCTTGTAAAGGATAGAGTCCCATGAAGTAAGACTTCTAGGGAAAGTTGGACACTGATCATTACAAAAGTAAGGCACCCTGTGGGTCTAAGGTACGCTTTAATTTGTGCATTGAGTACTTGTGCGATATCTTTGAGAGATTATTTGACTGACTTGATCGTCAGAGTGCCTCTTGGTGGATGAACCACCGCAGTATTCTCATCTTCTTGTTGACAGGTGGTTGGGTTAATCTATCGTGGGTGTTGATTTCCAACCTTCACAACCAAATAGTGAACTTAGTTGGAAAGCACCGGTTGGATAGATTAAGCCAACTACCTGCCAACAAGAAGATGAGAATACAGTTGTGGTTCGTCCACTTGGGGGCACTCGATGATCAAGTCAATATTCTTATCTTTCACAGATATCGCTCAAGTATTCAATTCACAAGGAAGAACATACCTTAGACCCATGAGGGTGTCTCACTTTTATAACCAGTAGTGACCTAGTCCCCTAGAAGTCTCACTTCGTAGGACTCAAGCTCATTGCTCATCTCAGACTCTCAGCTAGATAGGGATAAACTCCTCATAAGCCTTATCCTTATCCAGACTGAGAGCCTTTTCTATTCTAGGACTTTTGTTTCTTATCCGAATATCTTAGGATTCCAGCAATACCGTAGAACATCTCGGCAATGCCGTGGTCACCTTGGCAAACATGACTCATCCACGTAGCACTTTAGCTGACATCTCGGAGCTATCTTGGCCACGTGGCGTCACTCGCAAAATATTTCCCCACAATTGCCCTCTAAGTTCTATTACTTTGGCATACTGAGGTGATGAAACCTACACATGTATCTCTCCGACCGAGATCGTGACTCGTCAGTGTTAAGGAATCAAGGAATCAAATGTCCACCTTATCAAGAATCAAGAACTATGTCCTTTAATCATCTCAACCGAGATCGCTCCTCTAGCCGAGGTTATTACTTTACTATTTCAAGAATTTCAAGAGCCTTCATCGCGCATGAGCTGTCAATCACCATTATCTCAACTGTTTTCGCTTTTCAGTTTCTATACTTAGCCAATTTTTCTGACTTGTTCCTTTTTTCTTGCAGGCCATCCAACACGCGCACTCCCATGCGGCCAAGGCCGAGTTAGTGAAAAACGATTTTTTTTT